GATGACGAATTGAATAGATTTCACCGGAGCATACCTCTAAGTATGTCATATGTAAAAAATATACATGCTATTTGCAGAAAATAAATACCATTTGCATATAATTTATATTTTATTTAATAATAAAATTCTAAACTCAAAGTTGCATAATACGTAAATTAAAAATCATGAAAATCAAAAGTAAGTTGCAGAACAAATATATTTTTATAGATCATCATATATATTACCATATTTTCCCAAAAATAAGCATCCTGTGACACGCTCCTTTTATAGTAATTTATTTATTTGTTACATGGAATTTATTATATTATTTGTCACGTATATACTAATAAATTCATATATATCACACGATGCTTATTTTCGGAGGAATACGGTATATCTTTATTCTGATTGGCTAATTCTAGAGATGAGATTTTTAAGACCTTCCCTCTTCCTCTTAATAATTACATCATATATGTAAGCTTTCTTATATAAAAAGTATATTTTAATATATATATATTATCAACTTTATTAAATTTTATTATAATAATTTTTAAAAATCATATGTTTGTGAACTTATTGAATCATTTTATTACTAATAAATGCCATAAAATTTCTTTAAAAATTTAAATAAATATAGTTATTCTTTATAATAAATTTTATAATATTATATTATAAGATTATGAAGGTTAATAAAGCTTATAAGTAACTTAGATTTTTTATTATATAATTAAGCAATAAAAATTACTATATAACTCCTACAATTTAAGAGATAAATCCTCGCATCCAAAACTGCATCAATATCACATGATAAATATTTACACTCTAACACACATGTTCCAATTTCCAAGGCTCGTCCACTTAATCATATACGAAGTAAGTTTCAGCACGATCGCCACTCTCATAATGTTGCAAACTGTAAATAATCATAATTAGAATTCCAGTTTTGACTAAATACAGGACAATCTCATCAGAATCTGGAAAGAATATATTCCGTTTGAGTGAAAAATACTGCAAACTTTGAGTATGAATTGAAACTCCATGAATTCATATACGCAAATATATTTTGGAAAGTCAAGTGGTTATTACCAATTCGCTTCTTCATTGTTTCTTCTATTCGACAATGTGTGACGAACCAAACCAAATAAATTCTGAAATGCTGTATGTCTGAAAGTTATTTGCTGCAGAACATTTCTTTTTAAATAGCGAAACTATTTTTGTTCGAGAGGTAAACATTGTATGTGAATGTGTTCAAGAAGTGGAATGATTCTACACGAGGATTTTTCTTAAATCCTGAATACTTAACATTATATCTCTCAACTAATAATATTAATAAATCATTTCATGATCCTTTGTTATGATATACAATTTTCTAGCATTAGGTGGGATATTGATACATCAGATATCATATAACGAGTAGCACAACTGTTTTGTTGTTAAAATTATAAATTTTTCATAATCGTTACCATTTAGACCTTAGACGCTATAGAAGATGAGCTAATTTACCTGAATTTCAATTATTTAATTATTTTTACTAAAAAAGTTGCAACTTAGAAACAAGTTGTTAGGTAAATGTAGCAGAATGTTATTTGATCAAGGAAAAAAATTTGTAATAAGAAAACCTTGATGAATCGGAGCCCGAATCATATTGACGCGTATTCGTTAATATTTTTATATACGTTTGGTACGCTGTTACACCAAATGTGGGTCATAATGAATAATCTTGATGATGGATCTAATAAATTCGAAAATGTAATCCTTGATCGATTTATAAAAGATACTTTACAGTTTCAACATGACCGAAGAAAAAGCAGAAGAAAATCTTAATGTTGATCCTTCCACATTGAATCCTCTTTCACCAGAGGTTATATCAAGGCAAGCTACTATCAATATTGGTATGCTTTTTCTTTTGATTTCTTTAAGTTTGTTATATTTTCATATTTCTTTTACTTATATATAAGCTTTTATTTTCTACACAGGTACAATTGGTCACGTAGCACACGGTAAATCGACTGTAGTGAAAGCGATTTCTGGCGTTCAGGTTAGATTGACTTAAACCAATATGTCTAAATAGTTATTTCGAATGCTAATGTGATTCTATTGAAACAGACCGTCCGATTCAAAAATGAGCTTGAACGTAATATTACTATTAAATTGGGTTATGCTAATGCTAAGGTAAATAGATGTTCATTCAAGAATTAATAAGAATCATATTCATCAATTAAAATGATAATGATCATTGTAGGTGTACAAATGTGAAAAGGAAGATTGTCCCCGTCCGGGATGTTATAAATCTTATCGTAGCGATAAGGAAGAGAATCCTCTTTGTGAGAGACCTGGATGTGGTGGTAAGATGAAATTATTAAGGTACTATGTTCTTATTATTTATGGAATCAACCGTTTCTGTTATTTATTTTTTTTTTCTAATTAATTTTTCTCCTATTAATTCAAATAAAATTGAATCAATTCAATTAAGACACGTTTCATTTGTAGATTGTCCCGGTCATGACATTCTTATGGCTACTATGTTAAACGGTGCGGCAGTTATGGATGCCGCGCTTTTACTGATTGCCGGTAATGAATCTTGCCCACAGCCTCAAACTAGTGAGCATTTGGCTGCCATTGAGATTATGAAATTGAAACATATTATAATTCTACAAAACAAAGTCGATCTATGTAAAGATACTGCTTGCGAAGAACATTATAGAAGTATTTTGGACTTTGTTAAAGGTATCTAAATTTATTATTTTATTTAAAATCTTGGATTTTTAAATTGTATGCTAGAACATATTCTCTTGTATTATTATAGGAACTGTTGCTGATGGTGCCCCTATCGTACCTATATCAGCACAGTTGAAATATAATATTGATGCTATCAATGAATACATTGTTAAAAAGATTCCTATTCCAGTTCGTGACTTCACATCGGATCCTCGATTGATTGTAATTCGATCGTTTGATGTTAATAAGCCTGGTGCTGAAGTTGACGAGCTTAAAGGTGGTGTAGCTGGTGGTTCGATTTTACGTGGTGTTTTAAAGGTAACTGAGTAAACGGAAATTTTTTCAATTTAATTTAATTAGGGGAATTAATTATATAATATTATGCGTAAATATATATTCAGGTTGGTGACGAAATAGAAGTCCGACCTGGAATCCTTACTAAAGATAATGATGGTCAAATTCATTGTCGTCCAATCTTTTCACGTATAGTTTCATTATTTGCTGAACATAATGATTTGAAGTTTGCTGTTCCCGGTGGCTTGATTGGTTTGTATTTATATCAATAATATTATTATATTCGGTGTTAAAAATTGACAATTCTATCATATATTAATGTAATAGGTGTTGGTACCAAGATTGATCCAACGCTCTGTCGTGCTGATCGTCTTGTTGGTCAAGTTCTTGGTGCTGTTGGCAAATTACCCAAGATTTATACAGAACTCGAAATTAATTACTTTTTACTTAGAAGATTATTAGGGGTTAAAACGGATGATAAGAAGCAGACTAAGGTATGTTAAGTATTAATGCGAAACGTGGAGTTAGTCGTAATATAGTCATCTTCGGGTCGCTATCTAGCGTGGTACGTACATCAAGTATGTAAAAAAAAAAGTTTGATTAACTAAGGACAAGAGAGGAAATTATTTCTACTTCTTTCAGAAGTCCGTCAGAAAAGGAGATAGTTTTCTACAAAATTTTTTTTTTAACACCGAATCGCGATTTAATATCTTTTGCCCTATGAAAATAGATTTATTATCATGTTATTTTTATGTAGGTTTCAAAATTGACTAAGAATGAGGTTCTTATGGTAAACATAGGATCAACATCTACAGGTGGACGAGTCATGTCAGTTAAAGCAGATTTAGCCAAAATTATATTGACTAGTCCTGCTTGTACTGAAATTGACGAGAAGATTGCTTTATCCCGAAGAATTGACAAACATTGGAGGTACTTTACAACAAAACAGCTTGTTTTTCGGACCGGCAATTATATGCACTTCTCTAATATTGTTAATATCTTTTCCTTAGATTAATCGGATGGGGTAAAATTAAACGTGGTGTTGACATTGAACCCGATGTTCGAACATAATTAATTTCATGATATATTTTATTATTGAGTCTTTGCACTTAGATTATGTAGTTTATTATACTTTTTGAATGATTATTTAATAATAATAGAGTGTGTTATTTGTGGCTTTTATATTATCGATTTGACCAATTCATTATAACATACATAATTTAACTTAATAAATCTAACAGGCTTAACAAACGATGCAAAGATTTGAAACCACTAAAGAATTACAAATACCTTTCAAATGTCAGTTTGTAAATCCAGTACCACAAATTTTTCATCCAACGTGACTTTTGTCCCCACTACACTTTTCATTTTTTACCAAGTATTATGGGGACAGAATTTTTTCGATATGTGAAATCTATTATTTTGTCACAGAGATAATTTCTTAATGCTGTAATGCCGACCAGAAATCACGTGGGATAGGCAATGTCATTTCCTTTCATATGATTAAGAAAAATCTGACATTTCCATATAAAAAAAAAAAATACAATTTCATAAGGCTTAACTTTTCGTCCTCTTTTTTTTAAAAAAAGAAATGTCACGTGTTTCCGTCCCCTCATAATCTGAAACCCCCCAAGAATTCCAAAAAAAAGAATTTTCTTACGTTCTAATATGAAACCCCCAAGAATTCAAAAAAAAAAAAAAAAAAAAAAAAAAAATCCCTCATAACAATAATCCCAAACACCAAACCACCCAATTTTATTATTTTTTTTTTCGCTTTACTTTTTATAATTATTTGAATATGTTAGATATAACGATAAGTACTTTATCACTTAGCTACTTTGAAATATCTTATGAATTATTCTAGAACGGAAGTTCTTTTAGCTTAAGGATACCTCATATTTCAATCTCAGCTCTTTCACGTATTGCGAGCGGCTAAATTTTTATATAAATCTCTCCATGATGAATTATAAATGGATATTAATCATGTCGCATAAGGGATTTTTTTTTTTCTACCATCTAACCCATTGTTTTCTAAAGTGTTGCGTTGTATCCATAAAACCTGCATACTCATGTACACAATCGCTTGCTGCCCTTTTTTGTAAAGCTTCTGGCATCCATTCTTTGATTTTACGAATTCTTGATTCATGAGCCGGATGCGTACTCAAAAACTGAGGCGGTGAACCTTTTTGAGCAACGCTCATTCGTTCCCAAATTTTTGATGCTTCTCTAGGATCATAACAAGCTTGAGACATCAATAAAAGTCCAATATAATCTGCTTCTATTTCGCATTTTCGCGAAAAAGGCAACCTATGAAAAAAAAGTTAATTAATGTATTACAATATATTTGTATATTCAATGATACTCACATAAGACCAAACTCCATAAAGAGTCGAGCAAGAAAACCAGGATCTATAAATATACTAAGGAACAATTGAGCTAAAATTACAATTTTTAAAAAAGAAAGTTTCTCAGCGCTATGACGCGCAACTTGATGACCAATCTTAAACAAGTATTAAATCCGTTATTTCATCTGAAGGAATTATTCAATAAATCCAAGCAAAAAAAAAAAAATACTTAACATACTTCATGTCCTAAAACTGCAGCTAGCCCATCTTCATTTTTAACGATAGGTAAAATTCCTGTAAAAACGAAAACTTTGCCGCCAGGAAGCACAAAAGCATTTTTTTCTTTAGAATCAATGACATAAAATTCCCATTTCAAATCTATGATTATGATTCATTAATTACATCTTTAATAATGAAAAAAGAAATTATACCGCAGACAAATTAATTACAATACCTTGCATTCCACTTACTCTTACAATTTGTTGATCAACTTTTCTTACAAATCGCGTTCGATTATCCCAAGACGGTAAAATTTTATTGCCATATTGCGTCATAATCTCATGATATGCTTGTTGTGCTAATTTCTCTTCTTGCTTTGGGGTGACATCAATGAACCGTCGTCTATTAGTAATTGGTACTGTCTCTAAATGACTCGCATAATATATTCCTCCGAGTCCTCCCACTGCACTAGTATAAACCCAAAATATTTGTTTATGATAAAAAGGCACAGCAGTTCGAAAACGCTCATATTTTGGATATGAAGGAACCTGTGGAGGACGTTCTGAAAGTTGTGCACGGTTATTATAAATCTGTATATTCCGCGAAATATACATTTTCGAAATTAGTTTTCGAGGCAAACTTTGTCTATAGATATGTCTCATTAAAGTACACATTGGGTTATGCATGATACATTTGTTGAAATTTCGAGTGGTTAAGGATATTGTAGGTTTTTTAAAGTCGGCTAAAGTGGAGAAATAAAAGTATGCTCAGTAAATTTTTTGAAATTAATTACAGTATTATACAGTATAAAGAAACATTTTTTTTAATAATAATAATAGTGTTTTTATTAATAAATTAAAAAATTTTTTCAAATATTCGGTTGTGTGAGTTCAACTTTTTATTCAATTCTTCGTTCATTTGCCGCGTCTAATGTTGAAAAAGCTAGGGTGTCGGTTTTTTTAAAAATTTCCGGTTCTTATATTTATTTTTATATTTAGAACAAAACATTATATTTATTTTATTTAATTTTCCTTTTACAATTTTTACCAAATTTGTAATGCTCTATCAAAATTAAATTCCATTAAATTTACATTATACAGTCCAACTGCCATTAACATATGTAATGTATCATTCACAATCTACACTAGAAAATGCTCTTCATTAATTATTTTGTTTGTTTATTATAATAATAATTTGTTAAAAAATTGTAAAAAAAAAAAAATATATATATATTGTTTTTTTGTAATTTTTTAAATACAAATAAAAATGATTAAATTTGTTATATTTCGCATAGCCAATAATTATAATTAAGTCTGGGCCGGGCCGGGATGGCATTTTAATACACGAATTTAACCCAGACTGGGCCAGGCTGGGCTTCAAAATTTGGACTTATGCGGGTCTCTAATGGAAGTAATTATCAGTAGTAAGATTTTCATAATTTGCTAATATTATTATCCCATTCATCATGAATAGCATCAGCATTAATAATTGCTGTTGGATAATTAGGCTTAGAGATGAAACTTAAAATTTTTTTTAATATTTTTAAATTTTTAAGGCTTAATTAAATTATTAGAAAACTTAAAAACTTAATTAAGTTTATTTATTAACATATAAATGAAAATTATTTTATTTTATCATTATTTATATTTTATTATTATCTATTTATAAAAGATCAATGTTATGACCAGATTCCTCAATATTAAAAATTTTACTAATTGTTAAAATATCAATAAATTCTTCATTATTATTATCAGCTTCATTAGTTATATCTTGTATTTTACCTAATAAATCATTTGTTTCTTTTAAAATTTCTTCAGCTATATCACTTAATTCCATATTATCAAAATTATACCTATCTAATTCAATATCCTCTTGTATTATAATTTCTTGAGATTTTATTATTTTTTCATTTTATTCTTATTTTAAATGTTCTTTTTTTTAAATGTCATGAAATTTTTGCTAATTTTTCAGATCTTTCAGTTGTTCGTTTTGCTGTATGAATATTAGATAATACTGATCAAATTCTTTCAAATGCTATAGTATTAGGTGTTATTGCAAAAAGCTGTTATGCAAATACACTTAATTCTAAATATATTTCTTCTATACTTTGCCAAACTTTCATAAGATTATTCATAAATATTGGTGTTCAAAGATTGTTTATTAAAAATTCCTATTCTGTTTCGATAAGCTAACCATCCTTCTAAAAATACATTAACATTATAATTTAGATAAACTTTTTTAAATAACTGATAAGCCATTTATTATATATCTAATGTTATACCATATATTAAATAATTAAGATTATTTGATAAATGTAAAACCCATGAAATAATAAATGCAAGATCATAAATTTTTTGCTATTGATTATTTAGTTTATTGTAAAGAAAGGTCTTTACTTCTGATAAAACTAATAGAAGATTTTCAAGAATTTCAATAAACTAAGTCCAATAAGTCATTATTTAAGTTAAAGTCATGTTTTCAGATTCAAATAGTTTCATCATACAATCATATAGATGCATAATTTGGTAAAATATTTCAAGTCATGTTTAAAAATCTGAATCATCAATTATAGTAATAATTGTAAAATTTTTTTTCCTTTTCCTAATATTAAAAGAGATTTATTTTAAATAGCCATAATCTATTAATTAAATATAAATATAATAAATTAAATTTCTTTAAATAAATAAATATTTATTATTAAATACCTTTAAATAATCTTTTATAGTTATTACTTATGATGCTGCTATTGTAAAAGTAATCTAATATGTCAAAATTGGATATTACATTTTAAATGATAATCTATTAGAAAGTTGACATAATTTGTGAATTACCAAATTAGTAATACGAAAATAACCAATAATTATAAGTATTTGTTTAATTGTTAGTTTAAAATATGCAAACTTAATTATATCTTTAGCTAATAAATTTCTTTGATATGCCAAATAAGATAAGTATAAAACTCACCTCTGAATTTTAAGATCCTAAATTAAATAAATATAAATTTAGATTTTTATTAAATATAAATACAATAAATAAAATAAATATATATATATATATAGAATTCATTAATCGTTTAGCTTTAGTATAATTTTCATTACTAACTGTAACAAATTCAACCCATCTTTCAATTCTGATTTCTATGCTAACTTCTTTATAATCTATATAAATATTTTCATCTAAATATCGTTGATTTAATTTATTTTCTATTTTATATAATTCACTTTGTTGTTTTTCATTAATTAAAATATAATTCACAATACTATTATATGTTTAACTAGTTTATCCATTTCTAGAAAGGGTTATAAAATGTAAATTTATTATAAAATTCTGAATTTTATCCCAATATCATTATTCAAATCTTCAATTATATTTATATTAAGCAATTTTCAAGATGATAATCTAAAATATGAATTAAATAAAACAAATAGTTTTTTAACTTCAAGATCATTAATGAATAAAAAAGGTAATTTGCTAAAGCAACTGTATGATTAATTTATTTATAAATTGCTTTTTTTCTATGTATTAAAAATGGTTTATCTGCATAATTATTTATTGATGATTAAATTAAATTTGTTTCTGATTATATTTGTTATAATCGCATTGGTATTATTGTAAGTATATTAATCATGGATAGTGATGACTGTTATTTGTTTTTTTGTATATTTCTTTATTATTTTTTTTAATTTCTTAAAAATTTTCTTGATATTATTGCTAACATCACAAAGATGATTAATTATTTGTTCTGAAATACCAAGAACTTTTTTTTACAATAATTACAAATAGTTGCTTTATGTAAAGCATTTTTTTAGGTCTCTTTTCAAAATAGTCTCAAATTTTATTTAAACATTAACCTCATTTATTACTCATATTTTTTTAAAAAAAAGTTTTAAAAAATGATGATAATAAAGGTAAAAATTTAATAAGAATAAAAATTGACATTGTAAAAGAAAAGACTTTAAATCTCTATATAAAAGATTTTTGCAAATTAAAATTAGAAAAATTAGACAAAATATCACGAGAAATTTATCCTCATTTAGTACTTATTTGAGCAAAACATTATTATTTAAATGAATAGAAAAAATTTTATTCTGTTTAATAAAACTATTTAAATAACTAAAACAAAAAGTTTTAAAGGTTATTAAATGCTTAAAACTACAGTCCCTGCTGAAAGTAATGGCGGTGGGGATATTAAATAATATTTTGGTCACAGTTTCTCCGGTGTTCCGATTTGACGCATTATTAA